TTTGTGATATATGTGGAGGCTATGATCATAATTCTCAACAATGTATGTCCATAAGTGAAGGTCCCCCTCCCCATGAAAATGATGATAATGTTGAAGATGTTAATGCCATGAATTTTGTGCCCCGTGAGGGAAATAATGGAATGCGACCCAAATTGGAATCAAAACCCAAACCGTAGTTGGAATCAAAACCAAGGTTGGAATCAAAGTCAATGGAATCAAAGTGGTGGTGGTTATGATAACCAAGGCCAAGGTAGGGGAAACTCTTCCAATTACAATGGAAGAAGTTACTCAAACCAAAGACCAATTGGAATCAAAACCAACAACACTATTCCAACAACCAACAACGTTTTAATTCCAATCAGGGTTCCGGGGGTAATAGACCTCAAAATGCTTCTACTTTCTCACAAAATAGTAGACCCCCCGGTTTTGACCAAGTAAGGCCCCATTCTCAAATTCCCCCTACTCAACCCCTCCAAATAGAAGCCCCTCCTGATCCTATGATGGCTATGCTTCAAAATTTCATTAAAAATCAAGAAACCATAATAAGAGTCAAGAGGAAGAAAAGAAACAAATCAAGGCACACATGAAAATACTTGAGACCCAAATCTCTCAAATTGCCAACCAAGTTCTTCATCCTCCCCTTCTTCGTCTTCTTCTTTACCTAGTCAAGGTGTCAACCCCAAGTCTATGTATGCCATTACTACTAGAAGTGGGAAGATCCTTGAGAGTGAACTAAATGTTGAGAAGAGTCCCGATGTGAGGATAGGACTTGAGGTTGAGGATGAATCATCAAGAGAGAATGAGATTCTAGAGGGAAGTGCCGGAAAGAATGAGAGGGGTGAGAAAGAGAAAGAGAAGGAACTCGAAAAGGAGAGCACCAAAGATCAAACATCTTTACCCCTTAATCTCCAACCTAGGAATGAGAGGTTGCCTTTCCCCAAAGATTTGCTAGGTCTAGGCTTGATGTCCAATTTGGAAAATTTTTAGATGTAGTAAAGAGCTTGCATGTTTCTATACCCTTTGTGGATGCTATGAAAGAGATGCCACACTACTCTAAATTCCTAAAAGACCTCCTGAATGGAAGGAGAGAAGTTGAAACCGTTAGCTTAACCGCAAATTGTAGTGCTATTCTCTCCAGTAAGCTACCAACTAAATTGCAAGATCCCGGTAGTTTTTCCATCCCTTGTTCTATCAATGAAGTTCATTTGGGGAAGGCTTTGTGTGACCTAGGTGCTAGTGTGAGTTTAATGCCTTTCTCGGTCTACCAAAAGCTTAATGTGGGAAACCTTTCACCTACAAACATCACCCTCCAATTAGCAGATAGGTCCACAAAATTGCCTATAGGGAAAGTAGAGGACATACCCCTTAGAGTCGGTAAGTTCACTTTTCCGGTGGACTTTTATGTTCTTGAAATGGATGAAGATGAAAGAATTCCTATAATCTTGGGTAGGCCATTCCTAGCTACCTCTAAAGCAATTATTGATGTCAAAGAAGGCAAGATGACCTTGAAGGTTGACAATGATTCTATCGAATTTGATTTGAATAAGGTGATGAGACAACCTTCCTCTGACAATGAATGTTTTAGAATAGATACAATTGAAAACTTGATGAATGAGTTTAGATACCCTTATATGCATGCTTCTAATGATCTACTTGAGAATGTCTTGTTGAATGAGAATGAGGTAGGTGATCAAAAGGAGATGCAATTATATGAGGAAATGCTTGATGAGAAAGAAGAGACAACCCCGACCAAGAGATGCCCCAACCGTATGAAGTCTTCCAAGTAGAAGAGGAGGAAATCTCCAATGGTAAGGTAGCTCCGAAAGTAGAATTGAAACCTCTACCTTCGGCTTGAGGTATGTCTTTTTGGATGTTAATGATACTTTTTCCGGTCATTATCAATGCTAACCTCACGGAAGAGCAAACTCCTCATTGCTTAATGTTTTGAAAATGCATAGGAAGGCTTTGGGTTATACTCTTGATGATCTCAAAAGGTATATAGCCCCTCCCTATGCAGCATAAGATCGATTTAGAGGAGGGTGCTAAGCCGTGTAGGCAACGGCAAAGGAAACTTAATCCTTCCATGCAAGAGGTGTGAGAAAGGAAGTTTCCAAGCTACTTGAAGCAGGGATCATCTATCCAATCGCTCATAGTGATTGGGTATCCCCCGGTTCAAGTAGTGCCGAAAAAGGGAGGTATGACGGTAATGATCAATGATAAGCAACAATTGGTCCCAACTTCGGCTTGTTACGGGTTGGCGCATGTGTATTGATTACCTGCCAATTAAATGCCAACACTTCAAAGACCATTTCCATTACCGTTCATCGATCAAATGCTTGAGAGGCTTACAAAGCATGCTTTTTATTGCTTTCTTGATGGTTATTCGGGATTCTTCCAAATCCCAATTGACCCAAAAGATCAAGAAAAGACCACTTTCACTTGTCCCTACGGAACTTTTGCTTACCGTAGGATGCCTTTTGGTCTTTGTAATGCCCCGGCCACCTTCCAAAGATGCATGATGTCAATTTTTAGTGAAATGATCGAGGAAGAAATGGAAGTTTTTATGGATGATTTTTCCGTTGGTGGAGGCACGTATGAGCAGTGCCTAATGAATTTATCTCGTTGTTTAGAAAAGATGTGAGAGTGCCAACTTGGTGCTCAATTGGGAGAAATGCCACTTCATGGTGGAAAACGGCATTGTTCTTTGGCCATAAAATCTCCCAAGCGGGCATCGAAGTCGATGGTGCGAAGGTTGATGTGATCGAGAAGCTTCCTCCTCCCACAAATGTGAGAGAAGTGAGGTCCTTCCTTGGTCATGCCGGCTTTTACCCGCCGCTTCATCAAAGATTTCTCTTTGATTGCTAAGCCTCTCACATCTCTCTTGCAACAGGATAAAGAATTTGTATTTGATGAAGCTTGTCATGAGTCATTTTGCAGGTTGAAAAAGGCCCTTTGCACCGCCCCCGTAGTCCGAGGACCGGATTGGTCTCTATCATTCGAGCTAATGTGCGATGCAAGCGACGGGGCCATTGGATCGGTTCTGGGACAAAGAAAGGATGGGAAACTTCACGTTATATACTATTTGTCCAAGACTCTCAATGATGCCCAACGAAATTATACAACTACCGAAAAAGAGTTTTTGGCGGTTATCCACTCATTTGAGAAGTTTAGAACCTACCTCATTGGTTCTAGGACAATAGTGTATACCGATCACTCGGCTCTCAAATATTTGATAAGTAAGAAGGAGGCCAAACCGAGGTTGTTGAGATGGGTGTTGGTCCTTCAAGATTTTGATTACGAAATGAGAGATAAGAAGGGAGCCGAGAACGTGGTGGCGGACCACCTCTCTAGGTTAGGAGCTGCAAGAATACATGAAGACGATTTGCCAATTGAAGATGCCCTAATGGATGATGTCTTATATGCTCTTGAGGCAAAATCGGAGCCTTGGTATGCGGATATTGTGAACTACTTGGCTTGTAGTGCCATACCTCCGGATTTCACTCCTCAACAACATAGAAAGCTCAAGCATGAAGCAAAGAAGTATATATGGGATGACCCCATGTTGTTGAAGAGAGGGGTGGATGGACTCTTGAGAAGATGTGTTCCTAATGAAGAATTCCAAGATGTGCTCTCAATGTGCCACTCATCCCCTTGTGGTGGTCATATGAGTGCTCAAAAGACCGCTTCCAAGGTTTTGCAATGTATGCTCTTTTGGCCGTCTCTATTCAAAGAATGCTTGGCAATTTGTTAAGACTTGTGATAGGTGCCAAAGGACAGGGAACATATCACGGCGCGATGAGATGCCCCAAAATCCTATTCTTGAACTTGAAATCTTTGATGTTTGGGCAATTGACTTCATGGGCCCTTTCATCTCATCCCAAGGAAACCGGCACATTCTAGTTTCCGTTGATTATGTCTCCAAATGGGCGGAAGCCGTGGCATCTCCCACCAACGACTCAAGGGTGGTCATTAATTTGTTCAAGAAAGTCCATCTTCCCAAGATTCGGTGTTCCTAAGGCAATCATAAGTGATGGAGGCTCACACTTCAAGCACCATGCATTCAACAAGCTTCTTTCAAAGTACGGTGTATCTCACAAGCGAGGCCTTGCTTACCACCCCCAAACAAGTGGTCAAGCGGAGGTCACAAATAGGGAGTTAAAAGTCATCTTAGAGAAGACTGTTGCTAGAACAAGGAAGGATTGGTCCAGTAAGCTCATTGATTCATTGTGGGCATATAGGACCGCCTTCAAGACTCCTATAGGGACTACCCCCTATAAGCTTGTTTATGGAAGAATTGCCATTTACCCGTAGAGATGGAGCACCGAACGCATTGGGCAATCAAGCAAATCAACTTTGATCTCCACAGTGCGGGTGAGCAAAGGCTTCTAGAGCTTCATGAGTTGGAAGAGCTGAGAATGAATGCATATGACAGTGCAAGCCTCTACAAAGCAAGAACCAAGGCATGGCACGATGCTCGAATTTCCAAGAAGGAATTTGTGGAAGGACAAAAGGTCCTGCTCTACAATTCAAGACTCAAGCTCTTCCCCGGGAAATTGAGATCTAGATGGAGCGGTCCATTTCAAGTGTCCAAAACCTTTCCTTATGGCTCGGTTGAGATTTTCAATGACAAGTACCCTCCATTCAAAGTGAATGGGCAGCGTCTCAAGCCATACTATGAGGGTCAGCTAATTGAGAAGCCAGAAAATTTATCTCTCATTGATGTTTCCAAATCACCATGATTCCGTGTGAAGTACGTCAAGCTAGTGACGTTAAAGAAGCGCTTACGGGAGGCAACCCGGTTTCTAACCTCTTTGATTTTATTTTCTTTCAAATCGCTTGAACTAATCCACCTAACGCTCTTCCCAATCAATTCTGATGCAGGCGTGATTGCGTGTGTCCACGAGGAAAGAAAGGCAAGAGCAAAGCAGAAAAATTAAAAAACAGAGGAATTTTGAAATTTGTGCTCGGATGAATTCTAAAGAAACAGAACCTCAGCGCGATTTGAACGCGGCTGTAGCGCGATCCGCAGCAGCATTAAAGCGCGGGCGCGCCTGGTTTCGTCGCGGGCGCGCAATTTTTATGAATGAAAATTTCTCCAATTCCAGGGAGTTGGAGCGATTTTATCGCGGCTGAAGCGCGATCCGCAACAGCAGTAAGGCGCGGGCGCGCCTGGTTTCATCGCGGGCGCGCCGTTTTTGTGAATGTAAATTCTCCAATTCCAGGGAGTTGGAGCGATTTTATCGCGGCTGAAGCGCGGCCCGCATGAGCAGTAAGGCGCGGGCGCGCCTGGTTTCTTCGCGGGCGCGCCTGGTATACGCTTGAAAATTACTTCCATTCCAGGAGGCAGGAGCGATTTGGCCGCGATTGCAGAGCGGCTCGCGTTTTAAAGAAGGCGCGGGCGCGTCTATTATTAGCGCGGGCGCGTTGTAGTTTTACTGATTTCCAGGAAGTTGGAGCGATTTAGGCGCGATATAGGAGCGGCTCGCGTTTTCTTTAAGGAGCGGGCGCGCCTTAATCGGGAGCGGGCGCGCCTTTCTGGTTATCAGAAAAAAAATATGGTGGCTTCTTATATTTCCGCAATTTCCAAATCCTCACAAACATAAACCAAACCCTCTTTGCCTTTCTCTCTCTTCGCGGCCGCTCCTCACCACCATAGCCAAGATCATCTTCTTCCACCTTCATAAATCAATCATTCTCAAAATATAAACCACATCAATCATCCTCAAGCTTCAATCAATCATCCTCAAGCTTCAATCAATCATCCTCTCCGTTTGTTCATCTTCAAAGGTAGCAATTGGGCATCAAGGGCACAACCGCAACGAACCCCCCCCCCCCCCTTCCTACTCAAATCCTTCACCAAATCGACACCAAAACAGCAATCTTCCGCATAAAGGTAAAGGTATTCGATCTCCTTAGTTAATTATTCTCTTGGATTAATTTTAAGTAAGGATTTTGATTATCTTAGGTTATTAGCGAAATTTGGTTGATTATTGTTGAAATTATTGCTGGATTCTGTTGAACTTGTTGTTGTTGATTAGTATCTTAGGCTATATTCGTTGCGTGGTTGGATTATTATTGCTTGTGAACAGGTACATTGTAGTTTTGTGGAGGTTAAGGGTGGAAATAGCCGGAGTTGGCTTTGAAAAGGAGTGAAAAAAAAAAAAAAAAAAAAAAAAAGAGGTGGGCAGTCATGAGTCTAAGAATTGGGAAGAAGAGAAAAACTGCAAAGTCGGGACAATCGTCCCAAAACCAAGAGTCAGACCAACCCAATGCCTTACCCACCCTAAAATTTTTACACAAAAGCCACTCCTCCATACACTCGGAAATGCAAAAACGTAAGTTGCGACCTTCTAGACACTACCATCGTGGAGACATGATAAAACTCGGTATTAATGATGATTTGTGGATTCTTTTTGACAACCTTCGATTAGGGTCATTCATAAACTCCTCATTCATGACCTACAAAGAACCCACATTAGAGTTTTTCTCGTCTTTTCAAGTGGATAGTCTAGAAAATAACGACTTTCGAATTTCTTTCCAACTCTTCAACAACCCCCACACCATGTCATTGGCAGAGTTCAACCGAGCCCTCGACCTTCACCCCGATGCCGACATTCACTACCCTCTATATGAGAGCTTTGGGGAGTATAGTGAGTACGCTTGGTGGCGTTCCATTTCAGGCAAAAATGAGTTTTACACCCGGACTTCCTTAGCCAGTGAGATTTGGCACCCTGCCCTTAGGATCCTACACCGTTTATTAGGGTATTCTATCATTCCTAAGCAGGAC